TTTGATCCAGCAATTGTACTCCTAGGTATTTTCCCAAATGAGTTGAGAACATGTATATATATATATATATATATATATATACACACACACACACACACACACACATAAACACCTGCACATAAATGTTCAGAAAGGCTTTATTTATAATTGGAAAAATTAGAACCAACCCAGATGTCCTTCAATAGGTGAATGAACAAACAAATTGTGGTATATCCATACAATGGAGTATTATTCAGTGATAAAAACAAATGTACTATCAAGCCATGAAAAGACATAGAGGAAACTTAAGTGTTAAAAAAAAAAACAGGATTTAGAGTTAGTTAATAAGCTTATTTATTTATTTTTTTGGTATCACTTATTTATTTATTTTTTCTTCTTTTCCAGAATTTTATAGAAGTGAAGTGATTAAGAATTCCTTGGTAAGTTTGATTTTTGACAGGTACATATGACTAAGCCTTTTAACTCTTGTTTCAGAAAATGCTGAGATGTAAAATAAGTTGAGGTTCAGTTCTGGTATTATCATACCTCTGTAGTTAAATCTTTAATTTTTTTCTTAAATTACTGATTTGTTCATTGCTGTATCTCCAGTGCTTAGAACATGACTACCACGTAGGAGGTGCTCGATAAGTATTGGTTCGATGAACTGATATATGTGTTTTTTGAGAACTTCTTTTTTCAACTTAAATTCTGTAATTCTGTCATTTCTATTCACTCTAAGGAAGTTTGTGACTGTGTGGCCCGCCAAACATCATAATAAATGATGTTTATACAAATAAATATTTGTTTAGATTAGTTTTTAAGAATTTTGTATCTAGAATCTTCACTTGTTTCTTTCTGATGGCATTGCTCGGTTAGAAAGCTGGAAGGGTCCTACATTTGATACTGTGCACACTAGATATTTGCATCGATGAGTCAATTTCTTAGGTCGTGGTGAAGAAAAGAGGGGCTTTGTGGTAATGATAATATCCTTTTTATGGTCTAAGACCATACTGTGTCCTCTGTATACTTTTTTTACCGTCATCTGCTAACATTCTTTTCCTTACTTATTGTGTTCCAGGCATACTCTCTTCTCTCAGTGCTTCAAACACGCCAAGCTTGTCTTGTTCCTTCTGCCCAGAACACTTTTCCCCCCTTAGTTCTTCCCATGGTAGAAGAGGTCTTTGAGATCTCAGTTATGTCACTTCAGTGAGGCCTTTTCTGACTATTGCAATAAAGTAGCTTTCTTTCCTCTAGTCACTCTTTTTTATATCATTCTGTTTTATTTTCTTTAGAGCATTCATCACTATTGGAAACTCTGGCTGACTTATTTGTTTGTGTTTATTATCTTTCTCCCACCTTCTAGAATGAAGTTCTACAAGAGCAGGCACCTGCCAGTCTTGTATACCACTGTAACTTAGAGCATACAATAGTGTAGATGCTCAGTAAATCCTTGTTAAATGAGTGATTGGATAGCAATGATATGATATATTTAAAGACACCTTTCACATAAGTTATCCCATTTTGATCCTTATAACAACCTGTAAGGTAGATGGGAGGAGCTCTGGTAGCATAGTGGCTAAAGCACTTGACTGCTAACCAGAAGGCTGGCGGTTCAAACCCACCAGCCACTCCTCGGAAGGAAGGTTGGGCAATCCTACTTCCGTAGTGATACTGCCTCGGAAACCCAAGGAGGGGTTGCTATGAGTCAGGGCTGACTCGAGGGCACATAACAACAACAACAACAACAAGGTAGATGGGGCAGATACTTAAGAAACTGACACCCAGCGAGGTCCAGAGACTTTCTTAGAGTCATAACAACTGCAGGACCAGAACCTCAGACTAGGCCCCTTCTGTCTTTAAGTCTCTAACACTTTTTCTTCCTTGTCAAGCTGTCTTGTAAATGTCTCTAAAGTATCATAATAGATATGATAGGTTCCTCTGGGGAGGTCCAGTCACCAGGAAAGCTCTGGTTCTACATATGTTAAATGATACATGATAATACCTAGCATGCTGCTCTCACATGGTAGCTGCTAAGTCAGTGTTAATTTATCCTCCTCTGCTGGTTCACTAGAACAGAAAGTCATCCATCTATAGACAGGTAAGAACTAGGAGTGGTTAGGGGTCAGAGAGAGTAAAATTTTTGCCTTGATTTATTCCACTTCCTTTTCTGTAGTCAGACCTCTGTTGGGGGATGGTTTTATGACAATTCTTTGCTTTTTTCCCTGGATTTGTGTCACAAAGGGCTCTATGCCATAGAAGTACTTCAGTGTGTGGTTCTACATTGTCACTGTTTACTTGATACTCACTTGACATCCATATTTCTAATTGTCATTGCTCAGAGTGTTAACTCCTATTTTCAGCTCCTTTTGGCTTGAGTCTTCACTTGCTTCTGAACTGTGTGTGACGTGACGTCTTCTTCCCTATGCGTTTAGGCTGATTCATGTTTTATGAGGATGTTGTTGGGTGGATTCCTGACAAGGGAAAAGATTGGACTGAGACCTCCAGAGTTCTTTCAACTCAGAGTTTAAACTGTAGTTGTTTCTTGAGTGTACTTCTTAAAACATCTGCTTACATTGTAATTTTATCTCCCCAAGTAGATGAAACCTCCTGGGGGTCAGAGGCTGCCTGAGTATCTTTATGGCCCCCTAGCTCCCACTGTACTACTTCTGTTGGGTAGTTGTTTGATGAATATTGTTTCATTGATGTTTCCTTTTAAGGGTATTTTTTGAGATTATGATCTTTTTGGCAAGGATTGCTTTTTATTTCTTTTATGCCTTAATATACATGCTCCATGAAATTCAGTTCATTTATTCTTTTCTTTTTTTGAGAGAACTATTCTTTTTTAGCTTTTTGCAAAATCATTGTGACTAGTTCAGATTAATGGGAGCTCTGGTAGCATAGTGCCTAAGGCACTTGACTGCTAACCGGAAGGCTGGCGGTTCAAACCAAACAGCCACTCCTCGGAAGGAAGATGGGGCAATCTACTTCCGTAGTGATACTGCCTCAGAAACCCAAGGAGGGGTCGCTATGAGTCAGGTCCAACTCGACGGCATATCACAACAACAGTTCAGATTAATGGTCATTGGGTACCACAGGATCAAGAACTCTTAGAGATGGCACATGGTACTTTAATTCATTTAAATTTAAATATAGCCACATGTGGCTAGTGGATATTGTGTTAGCACATTTCTAGATGCTTCTGAAAAGCTTTCAGACAGTCATTAGCAGAAATGAAATTTTCCTTTTTTTTTGCTTTGTTTTTTATACTTCGTGCTTTTCCGATACAATTAGTACAGTTCTAAATCATTATAATAATTGTTTTATGGTTGTTTTAGCTCTCTCTTTATATATATATATATGAGTTATATAGCAGGATCCTTAAGTGCTTCCTCTTTATAATCTCCGTAGGTATTATACTGGGTTTTGCTTGTACTTGGCAAACGAACTGGAAAATACACACAGTATTTCAGTGACTCTAAGTTGTTAATTATAAGACTCACTATTTTTATATTCACCAAGAGAATCTTCTAATTAACCTGAGGCACAGGGCCTTTGCAGTAGTCCTGTGTGAGTTGTGACTGACTCTTACTAGCTTCTTGTTACTTTGAAATTTCTTTCATCCATGCTCAAGCATTAAGCAGTCTTTCCCGCCTTTAGGCTCATCGCTTGACTTTTGATAGATGATCCTTTTGTACATATATCTGCATTAAAATATAAGGAAGCGTCATCGCTTTGTGGTGATCTCCGTATCTTAAGTCTTATAATGAAGTCATTTCTCTACTGACAAATACTTGCTTCTCTAACACCAAGTTTGTGCTTCACTGATGTTTCTGAGGAGCTCTGGGCGCACAGTGGTTAAAGTGTTTTGGCAGTTCAAACCCACCAGCTGCTCCGTGGGAGAAAGATGAGACAGTCTGCTTCGGTAAAGATTTACAGTATTGGAAACCTTATGGGGCAGTTCTCCTCTGTCCTAAACGGTTGCTGTGAGTTGTTTCTGTGTCTTTCTGCCTTCATAAAAGCTTAATACTTTTTATTGAAGTTTAGCATACATACAGAAGGGTTTACAATATATAAGTATGTACTATGTACTGTAAATATAAGCTTGATGAATTTTCACAGATTGAGTACAGCATCCACATCAAGAAATAAAATATTTTTGGCTCCCAGAAACCTCATCTGAGGAGTGGCTGGTGGGTTTGAACCGCCAGCTTTCTGATTAGCAGTCAAATGCCTTAGGCACTATGCCATAGGCAATCTACTTCTGTAGTGATACGGCCTCGGAAACCCAAGGAGGGGTAGCTATGAGCCGGATGTGACTCGATGGCAGTGCGTTGCTTTGTGTTAGAAACCTCGTGCTCTCTTCAGTCATTATTAGTCTCCTGATTTTAACACCATAGATTAATTTGACCTGTTTTTCAGCTTTGTAGACATGGAATCATACAGTGTGTACCTTTTTCTGTCTGATCAGACTGATGTTGTGCAGGTCATTGCCGTTGTGGGGCGTATGTGTAGTTTGTTTATGCTGTAGTATTCCATAGTGTGGATATACCACAATTTTTCTAATCTCCTACTGATAGATATTTTGTTAGTGTCTAGTGGTGGGCTACTATGAGTAGTGCTGCCGTGAACATCCTTGTACATGTCTTTTGGTAAACGTGTGAAAATGGTTTAGGGAGTTGCATTGTCTGACTGCCTCTAACTTCCCAAGTGGGGAGGAGGATCAATATCAACAGCCCCAGGCTGATTCCTGTGAGGCAGAGGTCAGACATATCTTCACCCTCCAACCTTTTTATCAATTCTGATACCAATTGCCAGTCCTTTGGTACTCTCTGCTTTGCTGCTGGGCTCCATAATTTGTTGCAGTGGCCACACAGAACTCACGGACAATACTTTGGGGTTTCTATGGGAAGTAACAAGTTACAATTTAGGATCAGAAATGACTCAGAGTACAGTTCTTCGGTCAGGACAGCCTCTTCTCAGCAGTGCCCATAGGCATGCCTTTCTCTGGCCTTCTGCTTCCCAGCCCTGTGGCCCCTTTGTTACAAAGCTTTTTTGGTTCTGCCGGTAAATTCCCAGAGGCATCTCACTCTGCCAGTAAGCCTTGGCCTGAAGGTGCTTAACTGTCTCCATGGATCTGGAAGTCCATCATGTTGTCTCCTGCCAGGTGTCCTGGTTCTGCTGTCACCATGTTTCATTTTCTCAGCAAAGTGTTACGGCTCACTCTCCGTCTCCTAGGTAAAGGAGCTTCAGTGCAGAGATCTTGGATCCAAAGGATGCACTCCACCCCTGGCTTTTCTTTCTTGAAAACACAGTGAGGTCCCCTCTTCCCGCCTCTGGGATGGCTCATTTTCAGCTTTGCATGGTGGCAAAACTGACCAAACCCCATGTTAGGGTTCCATACACCTTATTTGCATGGTCTCACCTCCCACAAGGGTGCCAC